GGACTGAGCCAAATGTGGAAGCCGAGAGAGGAAGTGGCAGGTTTCGTGTCACACACGAGTCAGGGCGGGGGCGGAGTTGGGCTGGAGCTCTTGGGGCTCCTCGTCCAGTCCTCACTTGAGCCACGCTGCTGTCCTGGAGCCCTGGGGGCCAGGCCAGGATCCGAACATGGTGTGCACTGTGCACCTTGACCAGAGACCCTCAGCTGCGGAGCCTGGGGAGGCAGGAGGGCCAGGGGGCCGCTACGCCGCAGCTGCCTTGCAGCCGGGGGCTGGCAGGGTCCGCTTCCTCTTCTGATCCTCGGGCATCCCTGGGGTGGGGGTGGGGGGCAAAGGCAGGGCTTTTACAGGTGACGACATTTGGCCAGATCAAGTCAAAATGAGCACCAAGCAAACCATGAGCTTAAATCTTGCAGTGAACCAGGGGACACCATCCAGTACCAGGGAGGGGGGATGCTTTAGCTAAGGTTGGATCATACGTGCAACAGCAGGTCCTCTTTCTGGGCTCAGGGGCTCATCTCTGGCAGAGGCAACAGCAGGATGAGGGGTTAAGAAACCCTCTCTTGGAATTTGGAAGCAGTACTGGTTAAATGCAGAATTGCCAATTCCGAGTCTGCAGTGTAGGAAGACTGCCAGGCGCTGCTTCTGCATGCGAGGTGGGCTCAGAAGCCTGCTCCCACCCAGTGCTCCTGCACCCGGGCTGTACACAAGGAACCGCCCCGGGGGGACCGGGAACGAAACAGCTGCTTCTCTGGTTTCTGATGCAGTGGGCCTGGGCGCGGGCTCAACACTTCCTAGGTGCTTCCACTGTGAAGCTGGGGCTGAAAGCCGCTGTGTAGAGAACATGGGTCCTGAGGAAGGTCCCTCGGCCATGCTGGAATTGGAGCAGGGCTATTGTGGCGAAGGGCCATGCCACCTTCTCCCAACCTCGAGGGTAGCCAGAGTGAGGAGCTGACGGGAAAGTCCTATGGGCTGGGATCAGGAACGGTGACCAAGGAACAGGTGGCCCTGCCCAGCGGTGGGATGGTTCGTGAGCACCTCCCTGGGCACAGCTGGGCAGCCATGGGTGATCCCTCAGACAGGATGTGGTAGGGCCTTGCCCTTGAGGTTCCTTCCTGTCCCCGCTGGCTGGTTGGGAGAGGCCATGGGTGGCTGGAGGCCTGGGCAGGGCAGTGCTGTGATGGGAACTGACAGCCCCTCCCCCTCTCTGCTGCAGGGACAGTGGCTTTTCCAGCCAGGGCATGGACACCTACGTGGAAATGAGGCCCATCTCCACGTCTTCTTCAAATGACCCCTCCGAGCAAGGTGAGTTGTCGCCAGGGCCAGGGAGGGGAAGGGCTGCTGGGGACCGGGGCTTGGGGTAGGGCAGGGGCATCACCAGGACGGCTGCCTCCTCTCACCTCAGGCCTTGACAAGGAAGATGGCCGGCTGCTGGAGCTCCGCGACCTGCTCCACTTCTCCAGCCAAGTGGCCCAGGGCATGGCCTTCCTGGCTTCCAAGAATGTAAGTGGGAAGGGAGCCAGGGCCTGTGGGGCTGGACGGGGCCAGTACCAGGGAGCAGGTGCACAGCGGCCTCCGGGGCCAGTTCCTGTGGGCCGGGTAGGGTCCCAGCCTGGGCTGTGCCTGAGTGCAGCAGGCCAGGAAGGGTGCGGGCTCTAAGAACAGCCGGGTTCCATTCACTTCCACTCAGGGGGTGCACAAGTCTCACCTCACACACCATGTGGTCTCGGGATGATAATGATTGAATTGTACACTTGTCAAGGATACCAAATGACACAGCACAGCAACAAGTGCCCAGGCTATGGGGCTGTTCCAGTCAGCTCTGGACACAGCCGTGGCAGTCAGCTGTTTGCTGCTGGTTCTGTCACTTACTGTGTGATGCTGACCAATTGCTTGAAATCTGAGCCTCAGTTTTTGCACCTAAAAAATGGGTATATTCACAGTAATTTGAAGGCGAGCAAGGTTCTAATGTGTGCAAAGGCTTAAGAGAAGCCAGGGCGCAATGAGGTCCCGAACAGGGCAACCGCTATGATTGGGTAGTCCTTTCAGAAAAATTGAAGAGTTTAATTTTGTACGAAGCCTTCTGAAAGCCCCGAGTAGTTACTTTGTAACACATGTTTAGCAGCATGAGCTCTGTGAGGAGGCCTGGGGATAGTCACCAGGGGCCAGAAGCTGCACCTGGCACAGGAGCTCACCGCCCCAGGGCCCAGGCAGGCCGCCAGCTCCCGCTGCATGGAGCCAGAGGGCTATACGGCATGGCAGCTTGGCCTGCTAATGGTTCCTCTCCTGTTAAGTGGTATTTTACTTATCTGAAAGGCAGAGAGACGGAGACAGATTGCCTTCTGTCTACTGGCTTGCTCCCCACACACCCGCAACAGTGGGGGCTGCGTCAGAGCCAAAGCCAGTTCTATCCAGGTCTCCTATGTGGGTAGCAGGACTCAGCTGCTCGAGCCATCGCTGGCTGCATCCAGCAGAAAGCTGGAATAGGGAGCAGAGCTGAGCACCAACCTGGGCACTGATAAAGACGCAGGCATTGCAGGTGGCATCCTAACTGCCGTTCCAATGCCTGCCCCAGGGACACAAGTTTCTACACATTAAAATGACCACAGTAAGTTTTCTCAGACCTCAGGCCCTGCCAGAGGTAGGGACAGGAGTCTGAGAAAGTGCCGAAAGCTGATGAGGACTCCCTCACCAGGGACTGCAAGGCCTTGTGGGTCCTTCCATCCGCCCCTCCCCCTGGGCCCAGGTAGGGGAGGGCCAGACCTAACCCTGCCGTGCTTCCTCTCAGTGCATCCACCGGGACGTAGCAGCCCGCAACGTGCTGCTGACCAGCGGCCATGTGGCCAAGATTGGGGACTTTGGGCTGGCTAGGGACATCATGAACGACTCCAACTACATCGTCAAGGGCAATGTGAGTGCCAGGAAGGGGTGGGCTAGGTGGGGGCAGGGAACCAGGCCCCAGGTGACTAGGGACTGTCGTGCCAGGCCCGCCTGCCTGTCAAGTGGATGGCCCCGGAGAGCATCTTTGACTGCGTCTACACCGTCCAGAGCGATGTTTGGTCCTACGGCATCCTGCTCTGGGAGATCTTCTCACTCGGTGAGCTGTGGCGCTGCTCCGCCCTTGGTCTTCATGTCGGCATCCATCCCTCGTGGGGCACCAAGCTCCAGGATGCTCGGTGGGTGGGGCAAGGTGCTGGTGGGAGTGAGGACGGGCACACTGCCCACCCTGACACTTGCTTCCACACCTCTACCTGTGCTACCCTTGCCCTCATCTGAAAATGCAGCTTGAGCCATCTACCACCTCCAGTTTCCTGAGGGCTAGAACAGGGACTTGAGCCCAGTCTTCAAACGCACCCTGCAAGGTGCACCCTCCTCCCCTCCTCGGTGCTGTGGCCAGCGTGCTAGGCCTGGCGGAAGGCTCTTGGCTTCCTTAAGCGGAGGCCACTGCATAGTGCCTGGTGTGGTCGGCACCAGGGAAGGCAGCGGCTGCTCCAGTGTCGCAGTGAGCTGCGTGTGGGAGGGTCAGTTTCTCTTAAATGATCTCGGGCCTTTGCAGGGCTGAACCCTTACCCTGGCATCCTGGTGAACAGCAAGTTCTATAAACTGGTGAAAGATGGATACCAAATGGCCCAGCCTGCGTTTGCACCTAAGAACATGTAAGTGGAGGGAAGATCGGAGGGTGAGGGGCCCTGGTCTCTCTTGAACAACTCACTGCAGGGCCAGGCTTCCTCTCTCCACGGTGGACTCTCGAGCAAGCAGAGCGTCCACTGCTTACCGATTTCCCAGGTAGCTGGGCGGGGGTGTGTGTGTATGTGTGTGTCTTCGGAGAAAGGGCTCATGCTACGCTCACTGAGACATGGAACTCGGCCTGCCTGACAGGGGCCCTGAGGATGACCCCGGCAGTCCCTTCTCCAGTGGTTCTTGTGAGGACAGGAGGCAGGACTCGGCACAGGCTTTGTGGGAAACCCACTTCTCACTGGGTTCGGAGACCTCTGGGTTGTGGGGAGTGACACGTGGCTAAGCTCTGTCCCGTCTCCAGATACAGCATCATGCAGGCCTGCTGGGCCCTGGAGCCCACACACAGACCCACCTTCCAGCAGATCTGCGTCCTGCTTCAGGAGCAAGTCCAAGCGGCCACGAGAGAGCAGGTGAGTGAGGGTCAGATTGGGGTTGGCGGCTGCCGCAGGCTGGGCCGGACACGCCGTGACTGCCTGCCCTGGTCTCTCTGCCTCAGGACTACACCAATCTGCCTAGTGGCAGTGCCAGTGCCAGTGCCAGTGGCGGCGGCAGCGGCAGCAGCAGCAGCGAGCACCTGGCCTGCTGTGAGCCCGGGGAGACGGCCCAGCCCTCGCTGCAGCCCAATAACTACCAGTTCTGCTGAGGAGCCGGCCTGGGAGCAGTGCCTCTCCCTCCCTCCCAGCTTCAGTTCCCCCGTGGACGGGCAGCCTGGGGAGAACGTACAAACTCTGCCCTCGGTCACTTAACTCCACAGCTCGGCCCGGCTCCTTGGGAAGGTGAGGGACCTAGGGGAGGTCAGAGCGGACCCCGTTCCCAGAGCCCGGGCCGCCACTGCCAGTAAGGGGCTGGGGGCTGCGCCCCTGCCCGCCCGCCCTCATGGTGTTGGCCTCACGTTCGCTGTGCTTCCTCATCCCCGCCCGTCTCGATGCACAAAGACTGAGTTGGTGCCTACGGCGCCCCCACGAGCTGCCCTGGTGCTGAGAAAAGGCTCCCTGGACCTGCACAGCCCTCCCCCACGCTGGACCTGCTACTGCGAGCCTGAGCCCCAAGGCAGCCAAGAGCGAGGGGCATGCGGGGGCGGGAGACAGGGGACGGTGTGTAGCCGGCTACACCACGCACGCCCAGCTGACTCATCCTGACTAACAGACACGCTGGGGGCTGTTGTCCACATTAAACTAACGGCGCTCACACAGCCGCCTCTGCGTCTTTCGAGACCTGCGCGTTCCCTGCCAGAAGGTACGGGCCTGGGGGCCGTCACTGCAACCTTGTGGTTTAATAAAGTTTATTCTTACCGGGGCAGAGAGGGGGAAAAAGCCACTGCCTCCACTCCCCTCAATAAATTAAATAACACTCAGCCAATGCCAGGGCCCGAGCCAGACCTGGGCCCCTTGAGCCAGGCCCGCCGTTTCCTTATGGCCCAGGCTGCGTCCCCTTCACAGAAGGGAGTTTTTCCTAGTGCTGTCAGGGCGGATGGTGACCCCGGGCCACATCCCCCTGAGGTGAGGGCCCAGAGACAGTGGGGTGCAGGGGCCGGCCTATCCTCCTCAGGTCCCGGAGGGGCAAGCACTCCTCCATCCGGGGGAATCAAGAGCCTCAAGGGCCCACTTGCCCCAAGGTGGTGGCTGCAGCCCCTCGCCCCAGGCAGACTCCCTGCTACAGCCTTTGCCTCAGCCATCCTCCCTCCATTACACACATAACGTCCCCAAGTGCCCCTGGAGCCAAGGAGGGAGTTCTCGGCATCCCCGCCAACCTGCGGAGGGTGAGGAACCGAGGACCCCGGGTCCCTCCGTGCTAAGAAAATGGAAGCTCTTTGGTCAGTCCCAGCAGTCAACAGGTACTCCCCCCAGAGCCCACCTCGGCCAGTCCCTCAGACACACGAGCCTTAGGCCAGGGGTTTCCTAGGTATGGCTTGAGCAAGATGGTGCAGTTTCTGTCCCACAGCCGGGCTCACTCTGCTGCTGCCACGTCCTCGTCCTCCTCCTCCGTCTCTGTCTTGATCTGTGCGACCCCGAGGCGGTAGAGGGTGTCGCGGATGACCACCTCGCCGGGCTGGCAGCTCTGCACGATGTCGTGGATCTGCCGGTTGACGATCTCGCGGCTGGTGAGGAAGTCCACGAGGCGGTTGTAGAGGTAATAGTGGGTGGCGTTGTCGAAGGCAATGGGCCGCTGGCGGACACTGGTGGGTTTGCTGTCCACCATGGAGGCCAGGATGGCTGTGTAGGGTGCCAGTTCAGGGCACAGGGTCAAGGAGTGGTGCCCAGCGCTGGGGTCCCCAGGAGTGGGCTGTGTGCCTGCGTGAAGGATGCGCCGTGCAGCAGTCCTGGTGACCGGGTGCTGGACTGAGTGCTCAGCCTCTGTCATGTCCACTGCATACCGCTGGTCCAGGAGTTCCGGGCAGGACACGCTCTAGGGGAGAGATGGCAAGGAATGACCAGGTGGAACCTGTGTGGTGGCTGGGAGCAAAGGCTGCAGGGTCAGCCAGCCCACTCGCCTGGCTTGTTGTGGCATCATCATGCATGGGACTTCGTGGGGGCAAGGCGCCTCCGTGCCTGCAATTCCTCATGTGAGGGGCAGAGCAGACGTCCTGAGCGACGCATACTGCTACACCCTGCCAGGCCACAAGGGGCTGCAGGGAGAGAACAGGGCCCCAGCACCAGCACAGAGCTACATGAGTGGAGGAAGTGACTACAGTGTCCAGTGGCTTTCATCTCCCATAAAGCAACCTGGCAGGGGCCATCCCCTTTCTGCTTCTTCCCAGTACCAGTCCCAGACTCTAAAGGAAGAAGGCTGGCCTTGGCAGGTATGTGTCTGTTAAGATCTACTGCGAGATTCAATGTACGAACACACACAAAGGGTCGGCCTGCAACCTGCCAGCTACCTCTAGGTAAGTCGAGTTCCCCTTCAGGAAAAGGAGAAGCCTGGACTGACTCGGAAAGATGCCGGTGTCCGGGATACCCTGGTCACCAAGTGACACACTGTGGGTGGCCTTCTGTACAGAGGCTGGTTTGTAGAGGAAATGCTGATCCAGAGCAAAGAGACAAACATTGGGGGAGAAAAAGGATACCGGCTGTGGTCCCCAGGAGTGCGGGGGTGTGAGGCTGGGTTGGGTAGAGGGCTCTGTCTCAGTTCCCCAGGAGAGAACTCACCACAGGTGGCTCCATGGGGCTAGAGAAACAGCCTTGGTTCCTTCCCCACATCTGGCTGGTCAGCTCTGGGTATGAAAGGTCAGCACACAGGGCCACTGGTGTGGCCATATCGACCACGTAGATGGGTGGCCAGTGGCGGGAGGAGGCAAGGAGATCCACATGATCGCGGGCACTCTCAGCCCGCACGAGGTACTTGGAGCCGCAGACCACCTAGGGGAGAGGGCGGACACAGCCCTGCGGTCAGAAGGCGACACACCCCGCCCGTCTCTGCCTAGGAAGGGGACCGCACCTGAAGCCAGTCTTGCCATAGTCCCTGCGGTTCTGCTCCCCTCCCGCTTCCTGCCTGTCGCCAGCTCATCCTTACTTACCTGAGGTAGGATAACCTGCCCTCCCCCTACCAGACTCCACCAAGCCTCATCTAGTGGCTCCTCATCCTAGATTCACAGCACCAGAGGCCCAAGAGTAGGCTAAAAGTGGAGGCGCCTGGACCCCAAGCATAGGACCTGGGATCTCAGCATCTGTATCGCAGGCAAGCTCCCTAGCAGGCCACTTCCTACTGCTCACACAGCAGCCCTGATGGAGTCTAGGTGTTACTAGACTAACAGGCCCCCACCCACCAGCTCTGGGTGCACTGTAGAATTCTGCCTTTCCACTACCTGTTACAGTCCCAAGAGCTGCAGTCTAGGTCGTGGGGGTATCCTCCAGTCCCACGTGCACAAAAGCCTCTGAGCAGCTTCAAGTGCCTCCCTCAAATGCCGCTGTAGTTCAAGTCCTCAGCATGCGGGCTCACAACCAGGCCACCCTGGGACTCAGTGAACACTGATCCATCAGTGCTTGCTAACTGGGGCAAACACTGTGGTGTACTACAAAGCCTGTGTCTGAGCTACCCTGAGGACTACCCCCCCCACTCCTTGACAGACTGCGTTACCACCCCTATTTACATTCAAAACCACCCCCAAGGTCCCTCAGCACTGAGTAAAACCCAGTCACCATGGCCCATAAGGCCTCTGGAAGTCAGGGACCAGACACTCGGCAGCCCAGCACAGGCCTTAGCCCTGTCTGGTGGCCTCACCGGCACAGGTCTGTCTCTGCCCTGCCTGTGGTTCCTCCAGTGCTCCTGCTACAAGCGGAGGTGACTTTATTTTCCCACTAAAATAGGAGGGCAACTAGGGAGAAATGACATCGGGGCTCTCTGCCCCTGCTCACGCCACAGCTGGGGCAGAGAGCCCCGCACAAGGCAGGGTGCTGGGTAACTTCCCACTGCTGCATGGCCCAGGTGCTCTGACCCCCGCACAGCAGCGACCTGGGTCTCAGCTGCATGAAGGGGCTGCGTCAGTCTGTGGGGACAGCTCCACATGAGCAGGTTCACCCCACGCTCCCCCGTGACCCGCTTACCTGGTGGGGGCACACCTTGTAGATTTTACCCCCGGTGAACTGAGGTGGCGGCTGTCTAGCTCTGGCTCCATTCTGTACAGATTCATAGAGGGCCAATAAGGAGAAAGAGAGCTGGTCCTGGAGGGGAATGACAAGATTAAAACCATGGGCCCACACTAAGGGTCAGTCCTGGTGCTCAGCACAAATGCTCCCTTCAATACACAAAGCCCGGGAGAGCTGGCCCTGGAGTCCCATGCCAGCATCTCATGTAGGCGCCTGTTTTTGAGTCCTGGCTGCTCCACTTCCAATCCAGCTCCCTGCTGCAGTACCTAGGAAAGCAGCGCAAGATGGCCCCAGTGCTTGGACCCCTGCTGGCCACATGGGATGAAGCTCCTAGCTGTGGCTTGGCCCAGCCCTAGCCCTTGCAGTGAAGTAGGGAATTAAAATAGCAGAATGACAATCTCTCTCTCTCTAACTGTGCCTTTCAAGCAAATCTTTAAAAAAGGACAAACGTGTATCCATCTTGTGCACCCAAGAGCTTGAAAACCAGACCCATATGGTATTTTGGTTATCTTGATTTTGCAAACAAGGCACATGAAACAACATGTAGGATGGTTCATCCAAGGCCTTGCTGATAACGGTCAATAAGAGAGCCAGGACTCCTGTCCCTGAAGTTGAGAACCATGGCCTCCAGCAGCCGGAGCCAACTGCAGGCCAGGGCCTCATAGGTATCATGATCGGGGTGTTATCTCCCAGGTACCCTGACTGCCGGTTCCCTCTGCCCTGCCCACGAAGTGGGCCAACCACCTTCTCCCACAGCGCCAGTCTTCACAGCTCCCTGTGACACTCACCTTCGAGTCTTCCACCCCAAAGGGGATGTCGCACTGCCGCAGCAGCTGCCGCAGCTCCTCCGCACTGTAGGAGCCAATATCTTCAAGCCTGCAGGCGCCTTCCTGGAGCAGCCTCACTAAGGCACTGCCATTGCCTGCAAGAAACAAGGGTGCCGATGGCAGGGCACTGTCCCCAGTGGCCCATGGGCACAAGGCAGATCTACGACTTCTAGAGCAACCTGAAGTCTCTCAGAACTGGCTTCTTACCCTGGAACATTAAGTGGGATATGCAGCCAACCACCATGGTAAACAGCCCTAAAATAGACCAGCTTTTATTCCAAAGTTTTACAATGTTTTCCAGAACCAAGATTTCAGACAGACGCTTACCACAGCTGCAGTAGCAAGGGCAGCAGCTCCCGTTTTTAAAATGCTGTGTGTGTGCCATGCTCCTGAACCTGGCTGAGCAGGACAGCTACGTCGGGGCCTTAAGGAGACAACTCCACGGCCCTAGAGAAGCAAGTGTGAGGCGGGACCTCAGGATCTCATGTTAGGAAGCACTGCTTGAGAACCAGTGCATCTACTATGTACTCAGCAGGTCACATCCAGAGTTTTAAAAAAGGAAAAATAATAGAAAAGACAGTGTACTACACTTAGGGAAATGTATGATTTTTATGAAAACTTCATTTCACTTACATTTATCAATACACATGTGCTTATGGGTCACAAAAAAATTTCTCACTGTGAATTGCAATTAAAAAAAAAAAGGGGGGAGTAGGGAGCAGACACTTGGCTAGTGGTTAAGACACCCACCCTCCACACCAGTGTCTCTGGGCTCAATGGCCATCTCCTGACTCCAGCTGTCCCCTGGTGGGGGTCCAGGGAGACCTGGATTGTGTTCCTAGTACCTCGCTCCAGCCCCAGTCCATTCCCAGCTGTTCTGGACATTTAGGGTATAAACCAGCAGATGGGAGGGAGCTGTTTTTCAAATAACTAAGAATTTTAAAATCATGACTGCTATGCACATATGAAATGAACCTGAGTCCAAGACCGCTCCGCAGCAGCACAGCTGGCACTCACACCCAAACTGTCAGAAACTGCCCAACAGCTAGTCCCGGGCTCCTCCGTGTGAAACCCACAAAGCATGTGTAGGACTCGTGTAGAAGGCAGATTCCCTGGCCTCATCTCCTCGTTCTCCGAGTCTCAGGGCTGCAGCTGTAGCCGCAGTTTCCACATGCTCTATCCACTCGGTGCAGTGCTGCTCAGAGGCAGACAGCAAACTGTCCTTCCCACACAACCTGCCGGCAGCTCTGAAAATCTCCTCACCGTGACTCTAGACAATTCTGTCACGGGCTGACATTCTCTTTCCCGAGGGAGGCCTCTAGGCCTGGTGCTCGCTCTACCACTGTGCTGCTTTGCAAAGACAATGTCCCAGACTCTCGACTGAACCTTCCCTGCCCCAGTCAGCCGCCAGAGGGCCTTACCAGGGACTGGTCGCACATCCAGGCTTTTATCTTTCTCTGTGTTGACGACCACAGCTCCTCTCATGAGTGGCGGGAAGAAGGGGGCAATAACGGAGGCGTCAAACTTGGTGATGGGGATGCTGGCAGGAAACGCTACCTGCTCAATCACCTCTGTTTCCATCGTGGCCCAGAAGTCCTCCACGTTGACCTCACTGGAACCCAAGAATTCCGGCCAAGTGAACTAAACGATCAAGATAAAAAAGGTCCCATTACAGGAGTCCCAGACTTATCAACACAAACATCAGACACAAGGGGAAGGGCAGGTGTCTGTCAGCTGTGCACTGCCAGCCCCTGAGTCTGACACTCAGTACCCAGGAGCCACTTTGCTTTCTCCCAGACCTGGATGGGCACTAGGTTCCTGCTGCTGCTTTATCCATCCCTCTCACCTTTATGCATGGCACTCCTCTCTGTCCTGCACAGAAGAGAGCGCTAGCACTTGCATAGCTGTTGTGTGTCAGACACTTCCTAGCTACTAATAAACAAGGCAGGGCTGTCTGGGATGAAACTCCTCATGCAAGGGACAGAACAAGGAAGTGAGCAGAGGTCCAGTTCCAAAGCCCACTCCTTGATCCCATACCTATCTATTTCCTGAAATCCCACTCCTCTTCCAAGGCAGGCCCTGGAAATCCCTCAACTCCTTCCCAAAGTGCTCCTGGATCCTGTCAGGACACGGCCAGCTCCTCTACACCAGGCAGTGTTACTCATTGTGGGCACTCAGCACTGTGACAGTCACCTTCTGTTCTATTCCTCTTACGTGGTCCTTAAGTACAACCCTGATTCTATCACCTGATCGCTGCCTTATGGGTTACTCATTAGAAATGCAAATAGCTGAGCTATGTCTCAGTCGGTATGGACTCCATTCCTAATTTTGCATTTAACACAGTTGACCGGGGCTGGTGTTAGGGCGCAGTGGGTCAGACCACCGCCTGCAATGCCAACAGCCCCCATCAGAGCACCAGTCTGAGTCCCTCTCAGTCACACTCTCTAAGAAGTCAGAGAACCACTGCTCTACACAAAGACGCCTCCCACCGTTCCATTTTTCACAAGGCTCAGGTTGTGCTACTAGGAGTACATGGCACACTTTCCCCACCACATCACCCCAGGACGGGGCCAAATGAGCCCATACTCTCCACAAAGACCGAGGGAACAAAAAACGCCAAGTGGCTAAACAAACTGAAGCAGCTTCAGTCATTCATTTAGAATGTCTCTCCCTTACACAGTCCCTGAGCAGAGGAGTCAACCACCTCCCCCCCCCCCCCCCGAACAGCAGCATATTAAACTTGTCAGCAACAACTTCCTATTTAGTATTCATAATACTCCCTTCTCTGTACATACACACACTTCTCTCCATAAACAACAGCAGAAGAGGAAAAAAACAATGGTCTTTGAGAAACCATCATCCAGGAAATCAGAAGGAGGGAAGTGAATGCTACTCTACTCTGTGGCAGAGGAGCTTGGAACTAGGATAGGGCCGGTGCCAGGTGGCACTGAAAGTTGTGACCTTCGCGGGGAGGCGGGCCTGCGTCTCTCCTGGAAACCTAAAACTCTGTGTGGCCAGATGTGATTGGTGAACTTCGAGCTTGCAGTCCCAGGAGGTACTGGTGAGCAAGGCAGTGCTTGGGAATAAAGCCCCTGTAGTCAGCTCAGCCCCACCCATCCCGGGGTGGGCCTAGGAAGCTTCCCCAGGCATCTGCAATAACCTCACAGGGTCATGGTAAAAACCAAGTCTCGGGCCGGCGCCGCGGCTCACTAGGCTAATCCTCCGCCTAGCGGCGCCGGCACACCGGGTTCTAGTCCCGGTCGGGGCGCCGGATTCTGTCCCGGTTGCCCCTCTTCCAGGCCAGCCCTCTGCTGTGGCCAGGGAGTGCAGTGGAGGATGGCCCAGGTGCTTGGGCCCTGCACCCCATGGGAGACCAGGAAAGTACTGGCTCCTGGCCTGCCATCGGATCAGCGCAGTGCGCCGGCCGCAGCGCGGACGACCGGCGGCCATGGAGGGTGAACCAACGGCAAAGGAAGACCTTTCTCTCTGTCTCTCTCTCTCACTGTCCACTCTGCCTGTCAAAAAAAAAAAAAAAACCAAGTCTCACAGAAGAGCACCCAGCCCAGAACATGAGCTTGGCATCTGTAATAAAACGCTGAGTCCTGGCTGCATTATTCCTAGCCATCAGGCGAGCAGATGTGAATCCAAACAGCCTCTAGGTGAGTAACACAAAAGCGAAGATTCACCTAAGCAAATACTTTTACACTGTTCATTTTATCCAAAACCAATACTTAAAAAGGTACAGTACAGGCTGGCGCCACAGCT